ACAGATCCTGCCAGCCCTCACGTTGAGCGGTATCCTACACTTGACTACGTATTATGGTACGACTGACGGCGATGGGTTCTTTCGTTGGCTACAGGAGTGCCTTATCCCGAAATGTGGGCGTTTTCCAGAGCCAAACTCTGTCATCGTTATGGATAACCTCTCCTGCCATCGTATACCTGAAATCGAGGGTTTATGCCGGGTATCAGGTGTCCATCTCGAGTTTCTGCCTCCGTATTCACCAGACTTCAACCCCATCGAAGAGTACTTCGGCGATCTAAAGCGATACATCAGGAAGACGTATTCGAAGTGGAACAACGATGAGAATGACACTCGGGATTTCATGGAATATCTACGTGACTGCGCTATGGAGATTGGGTATCGTCTACCCCAGATCGAGGGCCATTTCCGCCATTCGTTCGTCAACTTTGATGGGACAGAGCATATATTTGACGATATCGAACTATAAAAGGGAGGATTTGCTGCCAATATTGAACATCAGCAAGCAATCCAAATTTTCATCGTGCGTTCGCGCGCAATAGATCTTAATCGTGTCGTCATATGATGGTCAATCATCAAATCCATGATTGTAGCCAACAAGATTGCCAAAAGGTTAGCCACAAGCGCACCAGAACACAAAAAATATACCGTCGTCCATTGTTTTCGTCGGTAGCTACGTATACATATCAATTTTGCCTGTATAACGGCTGAAACGCGTTGTTGATGCTTGTGACGATGATTTGTGATGATGACACGTCATCACGATCAGAGACTTCAACCATAGTCAGAGACTTCAACTGCCCCTAACCAGTATCGGGATGGACCGAAGTGTATTGTTTGCAGATCCAAAATAACAGTAATTCTATTGCTTTTATACGTATAGAGCGGCAGTGTTGAATCTACGGCTATGGGTAGACTTTTCCGTGGTTGAACACGTCATGCAAAAAAATCGCGCATACAGTCAAACTTCACACCACTCTTGCTGTATCACTCTTCTTCGTTATCCTCCTCCGAGTAATACGTCTCTGTTGACGACGTATCACTCGAGATTTCAATCTGATTGTCCTCATCGCCTTGCTCGATTTCGTCTTGTTCGATCTGTAACTGCGTGGGCAGCATCTGCGACGCTGACAGCAGTGGTGACGAAACGAAACCAAAGAGTTCCGAAACGCCTACAAAGTTAGCCATATTCGACAGTAAACAGCTCTATATACACTCACCACGTCGACCAACTTCAACTGGCGTACCACGGATCTCTTGCTCGATGGATTGACGTGGCACTAGGGCGTCGATATGTCGGGATGACCCCAACTCGCCTGAAACTAGCGCCGCAGAGTTTTCAACTGGCGCCGCCGCCGTCCCTCCTGGCAATCCAGCGTATATTCTTGTATAAACATCTCCTTCTGACTCTCGATGGTTTGAATGAAGTTCAGAGTGAGATACCACGTCGGAGAGGGCGTCAGACTGCCCTCCGTAGTAGGCGCTGTTGTCTATGAAGGATTTGATCGAGTTCCTGACATCTTCGGTAAGATCTTGAGTAAAACCCTGTTCAGTAAACCAAATATCTGGTAACTTGCGAATTGCCCGCAAGCTACTGTCTACTGATCGCAGTTTCTGTAGCTTCTTTCTGAACCCTTCGTCGACGTTATATCGCTTGCCGCGGACGGATATAAACCACTTGATGAAGCTGGCCACTTGATCTAGAGCTTTTCGAGGCGAATCCGGTACCACTGGCGAGGACGAACGAATCGGGAGTGCGATACTTGGTTGACGAGTGCTTGGAAGGTTCAATGGCGGAAGAGTTGGCAACGAATACTGTGAGATGTTCGCATATGGCCAATATGCCGGCGGCGGCGGCGCCGGCGGCGGCAGCTGTACGTATGGGTTAGGATATTGAAGATGACGATCTGGCGCCCCCGCGTTGCCGTATATATTGACGATGGCGTTGCTGTTGGCGTTGGTTAGGCCAGATCTTGACCCTGATGATGGAAGTGCGGCATTTTCAGCCTTCTCTTCCGTCATCACTGTCGTCTCCTGGTTATCATCAACCTCCACGATATTCTTACTTCTCTTGCCCTGGCGTTTCTGATCCTCTATAAACTGGTCGTGAAGAATCTCACCAAGCAGTTCTTTAGGTGGTTCCATATTGTCAACGCCAGCCTGTCCAGTCATAATAGCCTTCGCCCACTTCTCTATATGGTGAGATTTGATCTTGTAGTGCTTCTGGCCTAGTATATAGCACCAGTTGAACTTCTCGTCGCCCGAACTATTCTTACATCTCTGGTACTCTGGGCAGATGTGCGTACGGAGAAGTTGTCTGTGCATACCCTCCTTCCGACGCTCGACGTTTGCAGGATCGTTAGCCTCACGATCGATCGCCTCTTGCATGCCGGCTGAAACGCCTGCTCGGCCACCTTTTCGAGGCGTTCGTACGCCAGTCACTATACCACCAGAGATTGGTACGGCGCTGTATTGCCACTTGACGGTGAGGTGGACTTCACCCCTCTCTTCAGCTTGTTCAAGAGAGGGGACAATATCAACCCATGGAATACTTGGCCAAGTGACCCCTCCAGTAGACGGATAGACCCGAGTGAAGATTGGTGTTGGTTTAGATGCGTTGGTGGGCTTCCTCCAAGCAACGACAACAGCGATATTGGCCTTCTTCACAATATACGAGTGAGCCACTTCTGCCTCAAGTTGGGCGCCGCTGTCTGCCTCCCAGTCTCTACTATTCGCATCTAATACAGGAGCAATACTGAATCTGTTATACGCGATGCTCTCGATGGTTAGATCGAGAACAGGTAAACCGTTACCCTTGAGCGCTGGGCCACGGGTAACCTGGATTTGTAGCAGAGTTGGTTCCTCGTTACCCATATCGTCCTCCTCTTCAAATACATCGTGGAACGACATAAACGTATCATCAGCGCTATGGCGAGGGGCCGTAGGCGTATCGTCCGCAAATCGAGTGGTTTGACGAGGGGTTGGGTTAACTGGGGTCGAGTCTGGTCGAAACGGTGGCATCGACGAAGGCAGAGTACTTCGGAGCCGGATCGTATGCGGCGGATCCTTCTTTCGCTTCCTCTGCGTTGTCGTTGCTTTTTGGCGAGAGGACGCTTTTGGAGCTCTTCGTGATGACGGAGGGGCTATAAGTACACGCTTTCTTCGCGATGTAGACTCAGCCGCCACCAAATCATTAGTCTCGGGTCCAGCCTCGGCGACGATAACCTCCTCGGCGGCCTCCTCGGCGGCCTCTTCGGCGGCGGCAGCCCGGCGAGCCCTCTCGGCGGGCGTAACGATCCTGATCGACGGCGAGGCAGAGCGTTGAGGAGGATCTCTGGCGGCGTCCTGTGCCAGTTGTTGTATACGTCGTTGTTTCCGCGTACCGTTGGCGATGGGTGACGGACGATGCCCAGAAGGGTCATCATCCGCCTGCCGAGCCGCGCGGCGGCGTTTAGGAGGCATCACGATGCCCTCAGATAATGAGATTCAATAGAAATAGATCAATTGAAGCCATCAGAATAGGTCAATTGCCGTACTACGAATATCTACGTGGCGTTGGGCAAATTTTCATGTATATACAGGGATTATGCGTGCGTAATTTCGGCAAAAAGGGGGGGCGGACGCTGTCAACGCAACGGAGTGTACATAATCCAATCCAACGGTCCATTATCTTATCAGAACACCGGACGATCTCTTCCGCCTGACATCATTGCAACGTCTGGCTACCAACCGGCATCTGATCCGTAGTCGCTCGCATCCATCAGGTCAGGTTTCTTGCAGCTTGTAACGTCAACTTTCGTGTGGTGTTTTATTTACAGCAACAGAGATCGCCTGCTGAACCTCAGGCAAGACCCCAGAGCTGCTTGCTGCATGTTTCTCTCCAGCAGATCGATCCCCCCCCTTGCCCTCCCAAAGCTTGCGAAACGGCTCAACCGGAGTGGCAGAGCTCCTGATCTTCGATCCGAATCTCCCATCACGACGGCCCCACGTCCGACAACACCATTCCCACCTCCTCAACCTCTGAAAGCCCATGATTGTCGTGATAGCCATAACGCACATGCAAACCAAAAGTTTAAACATTCGCGAAAATAAGGGTCCCTGATGTCTTGCTCAGCCTCACACTGCCGAATGCCCATTAAACACAGGTCCCTTGCTTTTGCGCCTCACTCTGGTGCTCCAGCTCCACGGGGGTTGCTTCACAGCCACCCGCGGCTCCCCGGATGCCGTCAAAACAAAGCGTTACAGTTGCATGTCATCGGGGAGAGTGCCCTGTCCAGGCAGGCAAGAACCCTGCCCTTTGCAAAAAAAAGTCAATGGAACTTCGAAACATGAAAAAAGTCTTGCCCCCTTCGCCAGCCAAACTTTGGCCCAATCTTCCTGTTCCGTTCCTCGGTCGAGTTTTGTTGGGATGGGCTTACTGAGCTGACTACGCAAAAGAATTGTCGATGGTGGCATGTCATCGGCATACCTTCCGCCGCCAATCCCCTCTGCGTCATCAGCCATGTGGTTTGTCGCGTCGTGGCACAGATCGGCCCCCCCTCCCCACATCTGTCATCTGTTTCACCTTTAGTCCAGTGGCCTCTGAAGCGAGCAGGAGGGAAGGAAGCTCCCCACGTCTAGTCGTCGATCTTTTACAGCTACGACAATCATCAATGCTAGTGTAGCCTCCAAGACAGGCTTTTTCCATCCAGCTTGTGATCAACCGCAAAGTGACATTTCCGCATGCATGTTTGACGCGAATTGATATCATGGATCTTGAACCCGTGGCACCCTTCCCCTCCTCATCTACGATTTGATTTTCGGCGGCACCGCTAGTAACGCCTTGCTTGTCGGGTCGCACTTGGGAAATCGCGATCATTACGTCAAGGTCACACGTGGGAACACGTGATGTATTTGTAAAGACTCGAGTTGTATTGCGTGCGAACGCCTATCAAGGGTATCTTGAGCGAAGAGGACAAGCGAGAAAAGGAAATATGCTGAGCTTCAACGCGCTTTTCGGGGCGTCAGTATTTTGGACAGCGGGTGCGTGAAATTGAATGGACATACCAGAAGTCTTTTTGGGCGCAATGAGTTCCATGACTAGCTGGGGAACTACTCAAAGGGGAAACTGGCGCAATGAATCTCATCTGCCGAGTAGCTGGGGAACTACTCGGAGGGAAACCCATCTGAGAACGCCAATCAAGGGTATCGAGAGCAGAAAGGACGAGCGAGAAGAGGAAATTTGCCGAACTTCAACCCGCTTGTTCGGGTCGTCAGTCTCTTGGACACTAATCATGTGAAGGAGTAGATGGACATACGAGAAGTCTTCTTTGACGCAATGAGTTCCGTGAGTAGCTGGGGAACTACTCAAGGGGGAAACTGGTGCAGGTGGCAGGTTGGAATCATCGTAGTTGATACTGTTGGATGAGATATCATTCTCGCCCAGGTCAGCAGTACTGGGAACAGGTGAGCGGGCTGCATGTTTGTCAGAGGTTGACACCAAGTTGGGGCTGTGGTGAGAAACCTACCTCCTTGACCATGAGTCTCAAACACCCTCCCATGTCCGTTTCTCTCCAGAGCAGCGTCGCGATACAGGGTAGCCGGTGATCATCCTCGATCCGCGTTCTCAGACGAGCGTCGAATGCGACTCGCTACTCTAGCGAGTCGGCTTCGGCTTCTTCACGGCAACCCACTCGCCGTCAACGACCTTCTCGTTGGCGGGGCCGTCGTCGTACTCGGGGAGCCACGCGTCGTCGTACTTATCGTCGTCCGCGGTCTCCAGCGCAGAGGCGACGCCGGGCTTCTTGCGAGGGGCGCGGCGGCGGGGAGGGTCGTTAGCCGTGACGACGGTGTCGTGGGTGTCGTGGAACTCGTCGTCGTCCTCGCCCTCGCCCTTGCCGTCACCGTTGCCGGACTTGTCGGAGCTGGTTCCGTTGCCGGAGGTGGCGTTGCCAGGCTTGCCATCGACGGGAGCGTCCTTGGCCTCGCCGGCCTCCTTGCCAGTGGTGTTGGTACCGCTCTTCTGGCCCATCTTGATGCTTGGGAAACGAGTCTGTGTGGTGAGTTTTGTGATGAGCAAGTTGATGGGTCACAAGTCTGGTGCTGTTTGGTTTGGCAAAAAAGTTTTTGTTCTGAGGTCAATCTCACCGGCTCGGGGAGCTGGCAGAGATTTTTACCATAGTCTGGTGAATCAAGATCACGGTGAGTCGAGGCGAGAGCACCTTACCTTCAGCTGTTGCCATTGTTGATTGTTCAGCACGGCTTGCACCGCGTGCTGGATGAAATCGACGACATACATGACCGTCACCCAGGGGCCCAGTCAAAGGCCTCTATCTTCATAAAGCTGAAGAAACAAACAACTCAGTTTGATAGTAGAGTAGAAAGAAAAGAAAACTTTTTCTCTTCGCAGTTTTGAGTACTCGAGAACAATCAAGTCCGTAATTTAGAGAACCCTGGCGAGGGAAAACTCAACACTAGTTGAGGACCTTGCCGTCTCTGGTGCCCGTCCATGATTGTAACAACACCGTATCTGATTTCGCCATTCTCCAATACCAAATGAACCCCTACGTCTCCAAGACCATCGCGGTCTCCAATGGTAATGCACCTCCTTTGTGTTATTTCGAGCCAGCATCTATACTGATGTGGACCAGGAGGTCTTCTCGTCAGTCGTCCATCAACTGTACCAACAACATTGTTGCTAAGCATTCTCAGCCAGTTGCTTAATAACACAACCATGAGAGACGAGGTGTGTCATGGGCTCTTCAACAGCATCAACTGCGGTTGTTTGACCCCACATGTCGTTGCTGGGTCCAGTCAAAGCCGCGGAGTTTATCAGATCAAAAGGGCAGTTGCATAACGTTCCATGCGCGCAAGAAACGCCCTTTTGGCTTGAGGCGAAAAAAAAACATCGGATGTCAACCGACGAAAGGAGGCAGCCAAGTCGGCTGAGCATACCATCGCGTGAGGTTGCCGTGTTGAAATCAGCCTTGGCGGGGTGGAAGCGCAGCTTTCCGGCAAGAGATGACCATCTCGTTCAAGATCTGATACGCTATGATGGGGGGCGGGAAGCTGTGATCAGGCTGCGGTCGGGCAGTGGTGTTGTACAAGTGGAAGAGGCATATACCCTGAGAGAAGCATCGTCATCTGCGGTTATTTAGCAAATTCGCTGTTTCTGAGGTGGGCAAAGTTGGGTTCCGCGGCGGGGGGATTCTGAGCGCGACGGGCCTCACATCGGATTGTTGTATGCAAGTTGAGTTGTAGGCGCGAAAGGTGAGCGCAGCCGAGGACGCTGTCCCTGCTGCCGGCGGACAACAAGCTTAAACTGCCGGCAAGACCCCTGAGCCCTTGAGCCTTGATGCTGCTGAACAGCGAAGTCGGGCAATCCACCGTCAGGACCCCAGCGACGTGCGCCAAACGCTGGGAAGAATAACCGTGGGGGCCGTCAGGTCAGGTCGGCAAAGGATGTAAGCTTTCGTACCTAGGGTTGGGTGCCTGAGCAGTGTGGAAGGACGGGTGCACATCAACAGCATCGGGGAACAGGAACAGGCAAGGAGGACTCATGGCGTCGAGAATCAAGAAACGGAGGACGGGTTGTTGCGAGTGCTGGTTGGCCGGATAAAGTGCCAGGAAGTGCAGAGGTGTGCTGCTGTGCCGTCCATCGAATGCGACCTGGCCAACTGACGTGCGGCGTACCTTGCGGGAGATGTCCGGCGGGTGGATGTGTGTCTCTCCGCCGTGCATGTGTGCAGTGAGTGAGTGGCATGACGAGCGTGTGCCTGAGAAAACGGTCGAGGACGCTGACTGCTGGGTGTAGTATCGCAGATGGAGCGACCGTCGGGGAGCAGTGTTTTCTCCGTGTGCACTGGGCGCTTCGTGCAACAGTTTCCGACAACGGATGAATCACAAACGAACGGAGGCGAAAACTGGACCGCGAAGGTGTTAGGTTAATTGTAGCAAGGCGCAAGGTTCTGGTAAAGTGCTGTGACGGAGATTTTCTTGGCTGGCGGACGTGATAGGAGGTGGAAATGGAAATTGATAGACAGCGGTCGAGTTGTGGAGGGCCACGTCCGCGTCCGTCATTCAGCTTTTTCGATGAGACTCACCATGTCGATGCCAAGGAATATCGCGTCGCCGCTGCGCCCACGTCGCCAAGAGGCAGTAATCAGCTGCGCGGCGCTTCTTCTGGCCTGTCGTGTGTCCCAATCAGAACCGCCACGGGCCTGTAGCAGCCCTCATATCGGTCTAGGGATGTTGCTGTCGTGTCTTGCTTTTTGGCCACCGGTGAGAATGCCTTGCGTTCTTGCTTGAGGGGACGGCAATGGCAGTGCACAAAGCATAATAGGTGAGCATGGAGTGCGAGGGTGAGGTGTAAGTGACGGTGCTCGTGTGACAGCGACGGGACACTGGATGGATGTGACGGGGGAGGTTCGCCCTGTGTTCCATTTCCAGCGCGGGAAGCAACAGTAAACGGCGACAGCAAGTATTGCCGGGGTACCTTGCATGCAGAGTTTGTCTGCTGGGATACCCGGCCTCTACTCGGTATCAGTTGCTGAACCAGACGACGTCGGTCGTCATCGTGCCACCATGGGGGCTTCTGATTGGGCGCCAGCCGTTTCTAGCGGGAGCTGTCTCCGGACGGCGCAATGGCGAATCGAGCCCACCTCTGGCGCTGCAGTACGGATACCTTAGGTGAGGTGTTCCACCGTCAGGGCTGCTGGGGGCAAGGTTGGGGGCCTCCCTGCCTTCTTTGGTCTGCCCTGTCCTGCCTGCCTGCAGCCTGACAGCACCTTACCTCACCTCAAACAGTGGAACACGGCACTGACCAGCAGTCACGCTAGGTGGCCGACTGAAGCGTGCTGATGTTCGCTAAACCACCGCGATGCGCAACCGTAACCGCTACGGTCTGAAGTCCAGGCCCCTGCTTTTTCCACTCGACCCATCCATCTCGTCCAGAAAGAGGTCTCCGTGGAGGTGTTTCCTGTGGGCTGTACAGTGACGCATCGCTGTGAGTTGTCGCTAGAGTGGTTCTCGGAGCCGCCAACATCCCTGGAGCTGGTCCGTCCAGTGCGCTACCTACCTTCCCTACCTGCCTTGCTGGCTGTGTGTGTGTGTGTCCAACCCAGCCCGTCTGTCCTTGCGCGACCGGATTAGCTCCCTCGTCTTTTTTTCTTTATCAATCTACCCACCTCCTCCATATCATCGTGCCTCCCTCCGTCTGTGGCTGGCTCTCGGTCGTTCTCGTCCCTCCCTCCTGCTTGTTCCTATCTTGCCCATTTGCCTCTTGCTTTACCAACCAATACATTCTCCTCCCTCCCACACCTCCTCCTGCCGTCGAGGTCCTCTTATCGAACCCATCTCCGAATCTCCCCCGTGGCCGAATATTACTTTCCTAATGTCTCTGTCCGCCAGAGAATGAAAGCATCGTCGCAAACTTGTGGAAAAGGCCGAACTCTACTCTGGAGGCCCGATTCCTACCACCGATAATCCGAGAACCCCTCTCCGAACCGAACGATAATTCTTACTGCGAAGCTTCGCTCTCAAACTCATATCCAATTGCAATCGCGATACCCCAAACTCTGCCAGGCGCATCGTCCCATCGCCTGCCCTCCCGAAACCACACAACATCTGCTTGCCAGCTTAGACTTCGCCTAGCTTGGCGATAGAGGCCCACGCGCACCGTGCCAAGCCTCCATTCAAGGAGCCTAAGAGCACCTCTACATCGCCGAGGACCGTTCTCCTTGCAACGACGACCTTGCGCCGGCCCTCCGGTCCGCCGTCCTTTTCTATCGACGTCCCCCGTTGCCGCTACAAACGTCCAATCCACTCATCGTCCGCTACCGACCTCCAGTCGCCATGGACCAACAATACCTGACGTCTCCGGCGTCGTATCGGCTAGCCAACATGGCTCAGAACGTATACGAGATGCCTCTCCTTGCTCTCGAGAAGGCCCACGATTCCCACCCGTCCCTGGGCCACCTGGTCCTTCTCGTCTTCGAGGCCGTTCTCGAGGTCGTGTGTGTAAGCTTGCCGGGCTATGTCATTGCCCGGCTTGGCCACTTTGATGCTGAGAAGCAGAAGTTCTTGGCCAATCTCAATGTCATGCTCTTCACGCCTTGTCTTAGTATGTATCTCCTGCATGTATCGTCGCCTGAACTACCCACGCTGACAAGCCGCAGTCTTCACCAAGCTAGCATCGCAGCTCAACGCCGACAAGCTGCTCGACCTTGCCGTCATTCCCATTATCTTCGTCATCCAAACCATGGTCTCATGGCTCGTGGCTACTGTCGTCGCCCGTCTATTCGGCTTCAACCGCCGCGCCTCAAACTTCGTCACGGCCATGGGAGTCTTCGGCAACTCAAACTCACTGCCCATCTCCCTGGTCCTGTCCCTTTCCCAGACGATCAAGGGATTGCATTGGGACAAGATTCCCGGAGACAATGATGATGAGGTTGGCGCACGTGGTATTCTGTACCTGTTGATCTTCCAGCAACTTGGCCAGCTAGTCCGCTGGAGTTGGGGCTACCACGTTCTGCTCGCTCCGAAGGATAAGTACCCCGAGTACCAAGACGAGCGGGTCGAGGAGGGACAGTATGACGGAGACAGAGAGACTGCGCCCCTGCTGAACGAGTATGACCAAGACGACGCAGCCACCTCTCGCAGCCCCTCTAGTAGCGACCTGTCCAACTACGAGCCCGCCGGTCGCACTCCAGTGGCTAGCAGATCGAGAGCTTCCCCCGCCGATACCGAGGATGAGGACGACGAATACCTCCCCAAGAAGCCTATGAAGACTAACGGCCTGGCACCTCTCAACGGCAACCATCCCGTTTTCAATGGAAGCGACGATGAGATATCGTCTTTCCCTCGCATTCGCAACACGGATACACCCGACATTCCCGAGGGCGTTAAGGGCTACCCTACCCGCGCTAAGAATGCTATGAACAACGCCATCGTTAGGAGCAAGAAGTCTACGGCTAGCTTCTTCGCGAGGCTTTTCAACAGCCTCCCCGAGCCCGTCAAGGTCATCTTGGTCGCCCTCAACCGATTCTCCGGAAAGTTTTACAACTTCATGTGGGAATTCATGAACCCGCCGCTCTGGGCCATGCTTTGCGCTGTTGTGGTTGCCTCCGTCCCCGCGCTGCAGAAGATCTTCTTCGAGGAGGGATCATTCATCAAGAACAGCTTCACCGACGCCGTTCAATCGAGCGGTGGTGTTGCCGTCCCCTTGATTCTGGTGGTTCTTGGAGCTAACCTCGCCCGCAACACCCAGAAGAGTGAGAAGCTCAGGGATCCCGAGGAAGACCAGATCGGCACTAAGCTTTTGGTTGCGTCGCTCATGTGCCGAATGCTCCTGCCAACTCTCATCATGACCCCCATTTTGGCCATCTTTGCCAAGTATGTTCCCGTCAGCATCTTGGACGACCCGATCTTCGTCATCGTCTGCTTCCTGTTGACCGGAGCGCCGAGTGCTCTGCAACTAGCACAGATTTGCCAGATCAACGAGGTGTACGAGGGTGTGATGTCTCGTATCCTGTTCCAGAGCTATGTTATCTGGTATGTTTGCTCCCTCAACTTGAACCCTCCAACAAAACTAACAGATTTTTCAGGATCCTTCCGTCAACCTTGGTGCTTGTCATGTGCGCCTTGGAGGTGGTTGAATGGGCTGCTTAACAAATGTCAAGCGAGCTCCATAGCATTTCTTTTGTCATGTACGGAACAGTCACGATTTAATACCTATTGCGTGACATTGGGGAGGAAGCATCAGCGGCGTTCGGGATCTCCTCGAGGCACAGTCGGTTTGACAGGGTCAGGGGCAAAAGTACACATAAATTGGCTCTGGGCCATGTATTACTAGCAGCACAAGCGGTTTTGAACCAGGCATTTGTTTGAGTGGTCGACAACGTACAAACAATAACGTAGATGCACCAACTTGGTGTCGACAATCATAGGCGGTATGCCAATGAAAGCGTATGTCCATACGTCTGTAATAATATGACAAAATTGGATCCATTATGGGGTACATTGCAACGTGTTGAATGACTGTTTTATCTTTCTTTGGATGTGTCGTTCACCAGGAGGTACGGAGATATCGTAACGGCCATCATGTTTGACTACCTAGCGAAGAACATGAGGCAAAAGGAAACCAGAATGACAGCAACACCTGTGGTGCTGACGAATCGCCTAAAGCTCAGCTTGAATAGATAGCCTCTAAGATCGAATCATCGTGATTTCCTAGATTACAGTGGAACATCGATGATTTGTAGGTGGGCTGGGTTTGGCGGTATGAATTATTTCATTATGACTCCTTGACGATGACGAGTGTGCATATGGTAAGGTGGCCGACAATATTAGTGAGGATCATGCCAGCTCGAGCAGCAGAATTCAATGGTACTCGCTCTTCATGCTCTACGTTTCAGGAATGTGCGAATCATTCGGATACGCCTTCCTAAGTCAGGGTTCATAGGACAGGCAACGGCGGCGTGGCTTACCGAGACTCACCTTGCGCGGTAGTGCTTGCAGTATCGGTGAGCATCAGCGCTCGTCACGTGGCGCGCTCAGACCGCGGATGTGGGGCCGTCGCGCTGCCTTGGACAGCGGCAGTACCTTACCAAACTGTCTTTTCTTTCGAGCAACGACGGCAAGATTTCTACGTCACCCAACCATCGCAGCTTGTCAGAATGGCTTCGAGATCGAGATCCAGATCGCCTGGCGACCGCTATCGCTCCCGAACCCGATCGCCGACCCCGCGTTCCGACAGAGGTCGTTCTGCCTCACGTTCGCCAGTTCGCCGCCGGGACTACGATTCGCGTTCGCCGTCGCGTTCCCAGTCGCCAGCCCCGCGACGCAACGGCAGATACCGCAGCGAAAGTCGCAGCCGCAGCCGCGGACGCAGCCAGAGCCCTGTTGTCAGAAGCACCAAGGTATGGCTCAATTGCACTGTCTGCTCGAGAAAATTCAAAACTAATCGGACGTCTTGCACTAGATTGTCGTCGAGCGCTTGACCAAGAACATCAACGAGGGACATCTTGAGGAGATCTTCAGCCAATTTGGTCCTATCAAAGACCTTGATCTGCCTATCAATAGAACATGTAGGTGACCCCAAGGCATCGGACACGACAGCCCCCAGAGTCCAAAACATGGTTCCTTCCCAGGCTAACACTTCATTCCTCCAGACGGCACCAACAGAGGCACTGCCTATATTCTCTACGACCACGAGGCCGACGCCGAGGAGGCTATTGCTCACATGCACGAGGCTCAGATTGATGGCGCCGTTATCAACGTATCCATAGTCCTGCCCCGGCGCAAGCTCTCCCCGCCGCCTCCCATGGCTCGTCGCGGTGCAGGCTACGACCCCAGGCTTCCAGCTCCCGCTGGTCGAGGCAGCGGCAGGCAGTCGGGCGCACCTCATGCCGGGGCCTCGGGTCCCGGATCCTTTGGCCAGAACGGACCCCGTCGCGGTGCTTCGCCTCCACCGAATCGTCGGGGGCCTAGATCCGATACCTACCGCCCGCGATCCGTCTCTCGCTCCCCCTCGCGATCTCCTGCGGGTGCACCTCCATCTCGTGGTGGAGGCAGCAGGTACAGAAGCCGTTCGAGATCTTACTCACGATCTCGCTCGCCAGCCCCGAGACGCGGCGCAGGTGCGCGCGGAAATGAGTACCGCAGAAGGAGCCCGAGTCGAGACAGCTACGACAGTTACGAAAGCCGTCGAACTCGCTCCCCCAGCCGTAGCCGTGACCGTGGCCCTCGAACCGGCGCTGGTGGAAGTGGTGGCGGTGGCGGCTTCCGGGGCTATCGATGAATTCAACAGGGACGATGAAATGGAGATACTCAGCATGTTATGGGCGGCAGATTATTTGTGAATGACCTTTCACGGCGTTGGGGGTAATGGAAAAGTCGATCGGGCATCGAAAACACGGCGGGCTTGGGCACACAAGTTGACCCGTAAGACCTGATCGTCCGCATGCATTCTAAGCTAATAATACCCAGAGCAAATGTTTAGAATGCCGCATTTCTCATTGTCCACCATACCGATTCGTGATACGATTTCCAGGGCCCGAAGTCTGCCTCGCCCCTGAATACCCTAGGTTCATGCAGCGCGTAGTGCGTGACGCACCCTGGCTTTAGTCGGACCGGTGGGCCGTGTTGATCTGGTGATAGAAGCGTATGTGCGGCGTTGATGACACTAACTTTGACAGGCTTGATTTTGCAGAGGCTGGATAGTGATGGAGCGAGATTAAGACCACAGTATTTTTGCTTCAGCCGCCCTCGACATTCTGATTGGACAATCCTGCAACGAATGAGACATGATCAGCCCCAGACCCTTCACTTTTATTTCGGTGCCTTCACCACGCCGCAATCCTCCAGCCAGCAGGCCTGCGATGAGTGTTGTATTTTGTGGAGCCATTCGCTTGCCTTTCGCGGCATTTTGCTGGGCAGCCAGATGCTGCCGACCAAGTCTGGAAGCTTCTCGAGTCCGAAGAAAGACTCATCTTGGATCCTTCGTCGGCGACAGCGATGAGTTTCTTGCTGGGCGGAGAGGCGGGTTGCCTTTCATTCAGCATCAGGTGAGCTTACACCGGTGCCAGCATCGAAAATTCGCCCGACTTACATTCTGATATTGTAGAGCGACTGGCTTTGCGGTCCTACTACTGCACAAAGCGGCGGGGAGTTACCTGGATGCTTGCGGCACCTTCCGTTGAGTAAGCATGCGGTTCTTTTGTCATCTGGAGTCGAACATCACGAACGAGTCCCAGGCAGCAGCCAGCAGGCAACGCGGTCTGTTTGTCAGGGCGTCATGTCATTGCTTACGCCGGCATGGGAGACACACACCGGCTTGTTCCCGGCACCATGGCCGTGGCTGTTGCGAATGATCACTTTGCTTCGGCGGAGCTCGAGTACCGCGGCTGCCGGTGCAGTCGCTAATGGTCTCTGCCCGTTACACAAGCACCAAACGCCTGGTTTCGGGCATGCTGACGACTCATCGGTTCGCGGGCCCTCATTCGATACCAAAAAGACCCGCGTAATATGTCAATTACCAGGGCATCCGAAAGGACCAATTGCAGGCTGATCAAGCTGACCAGTCTGCTGGAATGAGGGCAGCCACACCCTCGTCTACTCACTCGACACAGCCAAACTGACACCATCCTTCAGCCCGATCACCCACACCAGGGAACTCTGTCCCGCATGAGATGCTTGGCTGGGACGTCTCGCAGGGAAGAAGAGGCGAAATACATCGCGGAAAACCGACAGCCGGGTTAAGCTGACACCGCACCGGCTGTTGGTCGATCCTTGTCTTGCGATTAAGTATGGTGCTGCTACCGTCGCGACAGACCGTTTGTAGATGCTCAGCAACGAAAGACCTCGAATATGCAGCAGGGGGTTTAAGCCCGGGGCGGCCGACTTTTTCTCCGGATTTGACAGCCGATGTTCGTGTCTCGGGCAAAGAGGTGCTTTCTGAGTCAACAAACTTGGTTTCGAAAGTCTGACGGCATGTTTTCTGCGCACCAACCCACACTTTGACAGATGCCAGGTCAAGTCTTGCGGCACAGATGGAGGAACTCCACTGTTCTGAGGCTGTCGTCCAGAATGCCTTGTGATCCTGACCCTCCCCCCGGTCGAATCCCCCACATTGCCAAGGCAAGAAAGCTGAGCTGAAGTGAATTGAACAGCGTCCGCACAACAGAAAACACAACAACACAGATAGGCCGTCCCATGGCTGATAGACCGGTTTTGCTGGTTACCTGAAACGCGAGCACCGCAAACGCAGATTGCTCGTTCGATATTTGATCCGGCACTTTCCAAGGCGCATTGTGCGACGTCGTTCAACATGCTCCAAAAGCCTCAGATCCTTCAGCCCTATGGCCTTGCGACACCCGCGTGCGTTGCCCCGGATGAGTGGGCGGGAGAGCGTGGGATATGAGTGTGTGTGAGCGATGCGAATCCGCCCCCTCGGCTCGACGCTAAGCCGCAATGTGCAAACACTGCGTTGCTCGGGGTTGATTCTTGCTGACGCCTTGGGGACTTTCTGGGCCTCTCCCCATTCGACCCTCGCTACCGTCATTTGGTTCTTGCGTAAGCAGGGGCATGTCCACGTTCCTAATTTACCCCTTCCTGGATTTGAAAGCACTTCTCTAACTCCAGATTGGTTAAAAAGCATCGAGCTATCCAAATACTAGCTCAGGCTGAGCACCAGTCCCTCGTTTGTCGCTCACAAGCCTCCCTTTTGGGGGCCATCTCCCGACTGCTGGACACCCTCCCAGCCGTCCCCCCTAATGTACGTGTCCTGACCGAGCCATTCGGCCGGACCCGAAAACGCTCACGATTCGCAAAAGTCGACGGACTTGGACACTCACATGACGGACCATCTCGGCGGGACTCTTACCACCCCTTCGGCATGACGCGGGATGGCAGTGTCTTCGACAAGATGATGTTCAAGTAGAGCTTCATCATGATGTTCGCCTCCCATGCAATGACCCAATCGACAAGTGTTGATTTGGAAGGACACGGCGGTGACATCGATGCTGGAAGAGAAGCTTCGTGCAGTTGATTGGTTACACGATATCGGCTTTCAACGAGGCATACACCCATCCTTTTCCCGGTGCTGTTTGCAACCCACACGTCCGACTTGCGGGTCCCGGGTACCTTGAGACGACATGTGTCTTCTCTTAGGCACGTCTCATCTCACACCCACCTTCTTTCCCAGGAGAAGTTTCCAAGAAAAGGCTGTCCATCTGTTTCCATGTTTGCCTAGATTTCCTGTTCCGCGGGGAGACGTGCATCCCGCGAACCTATCCGCCCGTTCGGAAGCCTGTTCAGAAGCCTGATTGGCCATTCCCAACTCTTGGGAGGCTGGCGCATGTACTAATTTACTCTGGGAAGACATGAACCCTGCCTTTCAGGCACACCCCCGTCACGCGGTCTTGGGCGAAAGACGGTTACACAGGCAGTAATCTAACCTTCGTGCAAGTTACCGTCGAGGTCTTGAAGGAGGTGCCGTGGCTCTGTGACATGGCGGCATCGTTGCTTGCCTACAAGCATGCTTGGGCTGTTCTGCGTACCGTTCTGCGAACTGTGTCTTTGTTTGTCTGTAGTCGTGGCAGAGCCTCGTATAAGATGCCTTTCGGGGTATATATGAGCCCTCTCTCAGCTGGTCTCAAATGTCTCAGATGGCAGGATTTTACCAGCTCACGCATCAAACATCATCGGCTAGCTTCCTCAAGTAGCTGCTTCCAAATTCCCGTATTCGTCCTCTCCGTCATTCAAACTACACCCTCAAGTCTCACAGGCTTCCAGTTTGGACAAAACCCGAGCGCCACCACTGGAGGAACTTCCCGAGACAATCCTCAACAGAAGCTGTCTAGACAACTTTGACTTCAAGTCTACGTTCAACATGTTCAACATGGTCAACATGTATGGCGATCCGCCTCCGTCCCCACCAGGTGGTCCCAGGGGTGGTCCGCGTCCACAACCGCCGGGGCCGATTACACCTCCGAACAGTCCTTGATGATCAGGACGTACGTCCTTTTCAGCCGGCCATCTCGAACGTAAGGATGGCCCCAGGGGCGTTGTCGGCGGTTCTTGGTCAGGCGCTTCAACCAGATAACACGCCGAAGTCGCCGATGCGGTATCACTTCACGTCGACTTGGGGCCACGAAGCCTCGCTATTCTTCCTAATGCAACCACGGACTCAAGCTCCGTCTCTACACCAGCGATAGAATGATGGGCAAAGAGATTGTGATGAGCCGACGACAGCATTTTCTCCTTATCCTTTGTCTTGGTCCCCTTGCATGTTTTCCTTTCTCGTGTCTTTCAGCAGTTACGATACACCGCCTGGTACCAGTCCGTACGCATTCATCCTAGATTACATCTCTGCGAGGAGAGCTACATATGTTTCACGGCCTAAACTAGCATAGCATGCATTCTGTCTTTCAACTTTTTTACTATTTCCTTGCAAGTGTCAGTATTTCATCGAGATAGCCATAGATCTCAATACAGCGAAGCGCACACGTCTGCATTACACTCACACACATCCTTCTCCTTTGAGATGTCACGGACACAATGATTGGGTGAAACACCCCCTTTCACAGGGCGACTTAATCGGGCAATGATGACTTACTCCGTATTGCTTGGATTTGGTGTAACGGCAGCGGCATCGATCTGCATCGCCGCACGGGAATGGATTTGGCCAAGACTGAGGTCAGCTTACGGGCCTTGGGCGGGTTTTCCCTAGGGGTGAATCAGCGCCCCGCGCGGTCGAAGCCACGACGGCATTCCCAGCCACGCTTTAGCTATGCAGGTGTTGCTTGGATGCCGCCGGTGTGATGTATTCCAGAGGCTGTAAACGGGGAGAGTGGGGGTATTATTTGGCGGTTGGCATGTTTCACCGAATGGGCGGCGCCGCTGCCCCCCTGTTCTAGAATAGGTACACAAAAGAGGACCTCGACTTTTCTTGCCCGAGGTGGCAGTAAGCTCGCACGCCTGGCTTTGCTAATTTGACGGCGGATACGAAGCCTCGTGGGGGCCAGATGGCGATGATGGCCAAAGAATAACCTAAAGCGGGCGGCACGGGGTCTTGGCCCTTCTACGCACGCCCGGTTCATGGCCTCCGCTCGGATCCGTCTTGGCTCGGCCCTCGTTTCCGTCACTTCTGCCCGAACACACGTCAGCTGTTTCTCTGTCGTCTTCTTAAACTTTTTTTGAGTCCTGATAAATATTCATCGAGCGTAGTTTCTTAGGCTACATCGGCAAGGTGTGAGGCCGTGGTGAGCCGCGACACGACGCGGCCATTCAAAAAGGTACCAATGGACCTAAGTGACAATGAAGCGTTGGACTTGGAAGACTACGTACCTATGATCATGAAAATTTTCAGGTAGATTACAGGTTCTAGGGAGTCTTTGACAGCGGCAGAACACCGTTTGGCATGATGGAACACATTCAGCCTTCGACGTTATGGATCTCGAAGGGTCAAGGCCTTTGGATGAAGCCTCCGAGGTTGAGATGAAGGCCAAAGCAAGATCCGGGCGCGAACGAGCCCTGGCCGATACTTGATGGCCCTGTAGAGAGACATCTCACAATCCTTTTCTTTAACAGCATCATCATATTCTGGTATCATCGCGGAAAAAATGCGTGAACGTCCTGGAATCACAGAGAACAAACGATACGCTGAGCACTCTGATATCGACGCAGCTTTCGAACCATGCCGCTCTTACAATGAGCTTCAGGCTGAAGGCAGCCAATACTGGTTCGTACAAGACGGAGGTAGGTAGGGTGGCATCCTCGTGGCGTCTGTGGCGACGAGTACTCACAAGCATCCAGATTCAGTGTATTTCGAGTCGTTCTTTCCGCAGCTCGACCCGAGCGATTTGCGCGACCAAAAGATCAAGTCTCTATCGATATACGAAGACGTCAGCCCGACCTCCCAAAGACCGTGGTCACAGCACTCACGCCGCCACCCAAGGAGAGTCGTCGGAGAATCGCTGGGACCGATGAGTCTCTTCCTCGAGAAGCTGTCCGCATCGTACATCATCGAGGCGAACGACTTTTTCCGCAAGACACAGTCCGACTGGGTCTGGGAGAACCTCACGTCCCTGACCCTGACATCTGAGCTGCTGGCCGAGGACGCCTGCCATCTCAGGGCGACAAACATGCTCGCCAACGCCGCCGGCGCTGCCCTCCAGATGCCCAGGCTGCAGAAGATGGAGATCTGGTACGGTGGGTTCCGCACTGCGGCCCTCTTTCGCTACGCCGTCTCGGAGTCCGGCACGTCAATTCGGTGGCACGGGACGTGGGAGCTGCAGCTTCAGCGGCGGCTTGTCGACGCTTGGAGGGCGGTGGCAGAGTTACATACGGCGAATGAGCTTGTTATACGTGAGAGTCGTTTGCTTGACGGGAGCGGCATTGCCTCGCGTGAGGGGGCTATTCAGGTGCTTGACCTGAGTGAGAGTGTGGTTCATCCGGCATCTTTTGGGGGCATCGGCAAAGGAACAGGGAAATGTACCAAACCCGATCAATCTGTCTCGAAAAAACATGAAGATATTATGAGTTGGATCCAGGCTTCGGGGATAGAGAGCTTGCAAATATAGGGTTTGAGCACGATTAGCAGTTTATGGCAAGGTGAGCTGCAAGGGGTATCATTGACACGTATGGATTTATAGATGAATCAATTAATTGGACTACTGCTGCATTCGTCTGTTGAGTTCATATGAGTGACTGACCTCTGTTCACTCCAATAGACTCCTTGCAGCATGGAACAAGACTGCAGCAGGGTCATCAGAGCAATCTTGACTCTGACTGATGATCTTTCCGGAGATCGTCTTAGGGACAAAAGACCACCGCCAAGCTTACGTTGCCCAGGCCTCCCTAAATCAAGCGATATTTTCGTATCCAGTTTTGTGTATTCCTCGACCAGTAAGTCTTCAGTGACCTGAGTCGCATTCACATTGCTGTGGCGTGGTCCGACAGTTCGGATCCGATCATATGGCCTCAAGGCCTCGGCATTGGGATCGTCCCACATGGCATTTGAGTTGGGGCCCCCTTCGTTCAGATCGAGAACTCGCGATTGCCCCGCATCGAGCTCTTTTAAGACCAGGGCTAACTTACCGATCATTGAACTGGACCTATCACGGATGTGGAAAGTCGCTTGCTTGTTCTCCCGCGGCATGGCTTAGTCTGCTGATCTCCTATTCTAAGGCCCGGCCTAGTCCGCGGGCCCGGTCCGAACGTTTCCACCCCGCGATAGCGGGGCTCTTCCGAGCATCACTTTAATTTATCGTGACCTATGCGGATCAACCCTCACGCAATCCACGCGGACACCGACTGCTGATTATCAATCAGCTCAGTTGATATCGCGAACGTCGTCGTCATGAGTGAAAAATCAGATGGTATTATGTTTATCCAAAGAGGCTGGGAGATCTGTTGTGGATGTATATAAGTGACAGCTTGGCAGTCATCAGCTGCTTTTAGAACAGCACAGATCAGATATACCCTCTCTTCAATCTCTTCCGTCTCACACTCTTTGATCATTCCACGGTCGTTACCATGAGAATCTCTCGCCTCTCCCTGGCCACCTTGGCTTCGTCGAGCTCCCTGGCGACAGCCCTGGCCGACGGACTCACCATCGCCCTTACCCTCGACCGAGCAACCCAGGGCATCAGCATCTCCTCCGACGGACGCAAGTTCTTGACGCAAAGATATTCCACCACGGATGCTCCTCAAGCCGTCGAGCTTCTCAGCAATGGCACAACCGTTCTTTACCCCGATTCCACGTGGAACTCATGGACGTCCAACTCGACTTTAGATCCCAAGAAGGCCTTCGTCAGCATTGACGGCGCCCGGATCGGGCCCGACGGACGATTCTGGGTCGTTGACGGAGGCACTACCGACAGCGATGGCAAGCTTGTCAGCGGATCTAGCAAGCTTGCTGGCGTGAACCTCACCACCAACGCCGTCGACAAGGTCTACTACCTGGACAATCTCACCGAGACTGGCAGCGTCATCGATGACGTTCGTTTCAACGGGAATGTTGCGTACCTCAGCGACACAGCTGGCGCGCTCGTTGTCATGGATCTTACGACTGGCGAAGGCAAGCGCGTTCTTGTGGGCCACAGCTCTGCCGTGGCATGGTTCCCAATGGCCTACAATGGTAGTCTCGTTCCAGGATACCAGGGGGGCGACAGCACGCTCTCCGTGGGTCTTGACCAGATCGAAGTGTCCCCCGATGGTGTCTATCTCTACTATCAACCTTGCAACGGAGGCATGTACCGCATCGAGACGCAGTACGTAGACGGCGCCTTGACGAACAGCACTCTCGCGGAGAACCTGGGAGACTACGCGGTCCCTTTCGCGCTCACGCCTAGTACTGGAGGTACGACTATTGATGGGGACGGCAACATCTACGTGAGCGACACCAACCTGCTTGCTATATGGAAGGTCAAGCCCGATGGGTCGTCTTCGATTCTAGTTCAGGATGATGCCTTGGTCTGGACCGATCTGATGTGGGTTGACGCGGACAAGAACCTGTGGCTGCCGGCTTCCCAGATGAGGCCGGGTGCAAATGGGCTGATGGCGGATGGACCAAACTACATCTTCACTTACCCGATTGATTCTGGCCCGTCACCGATTGACCACGCATAAACATGAAGTGTCTTTCGAAGACAACAAGATTCGAATGCTTGTAAATACATATGTAGATAGCAATTGCATACGACACACAGTTCATACAAGTTCAATGACAAGAGCCTATCTAAGCTCAAAGCGAGCTTTGCCCAGCAACATCATGATTCTCTTGACGAAGTCATCGAAACGTTGAGTTGATAAGATCTGATGAACGTGTTCAAAGACTACTGTTCGGACGGCCGGCGGTGGCGGCATGACCGGACTCGGCCCGAGCATCGGCGGAGCGGGGCCAGCGCCGGGAGGGTGCCCCGGCCCAACCCGCCACTAATCTTGCGGAATGCTTTAAGGTTATCGCAACCCGCAACTGATTTTAAGCTCGATTCTCCCAGGAATTTTGAAATAACCTTAACAGGCGCCACGCGGGAACTCTGCTTTTCATTCCTCACCAGCAGCCACGAACACACGCTTGCCATCTTCAGATGATCCCTTGAGACATCCCTCGATTGATAGTGCCGGTTCGAGCACCGTCCTGGCGCGATGCCGGGTTTGCACCAAGAGGCTGTGTAATCGGGAGCAGGCCGAAACCCCTTTCCGAACCAGCCTTCTCATTTCCTAGTCATCTCATTGCATTATGGCATCTTCCGCCTACGCATCTACGGCGGGTAAGCAGCAGTTATCGTTGGCACGTCAATGATATCGTTGAGAGATTGTGAAGTCGTACCCAGCTGACATTTGCGCTGCTGGCCCTGCCATTCAGTGGGACATGGCATGATCCCTGCAAGGCTGGGCAGGGGATGTTCGGGCGCGCTGAGGGGCCTGGAATGCAGCTCGTGTCCCCAAAAACCGACCTTGAGGATTCGCCTGGGCTTGCTGGGTGCTTCTGTAGCGGCCGCTCATGTCGAAACCTCCCAATCTCGTTGGTTGTTGCTTCCTGCGGCTCATGCAGCACACCTCGTGTCGGACGACCAGACCTTGGTTGGCTTGCGCTAGCTTCCTTGTCAATCTCGGTCTTTTGGATACGGTACTTGGTCGGGCATTGTCTTGCAATTCTTATGGCCAGGAATCCCGTATCACTTCGGTGAAAGGATTGTTGGGTCTACTGGGGCTCTTTGCGCGTCCGAAGTTCGTAACAGACGCACATACAGAATGCAGCACGATAAGCTGTTCGGATTCCAACCTCATGGCGTTTTGTGTGTCTAACACTTCATCTCGATTTAATTCGAGGCTGAGGCTTGGCGACTACCGAGACACCGCGAGCCCGAAAGTCACGAGGGCTGGCTGCACCAGAATTAGGTTTCTTCGTGTCTTGAACCGTGTGGAAGGGAGAGACACCCAAGCCCAACTTTCTTTCCCGTCCCCAGCTTCATCTACAGCCCCAAAGCCATCAGGAGCATACCTCCCGATCCAAACACACGTTTTCCCCAACCACTGGTGACATTCGTCTCAGAGAGGGGTTGGAATTGTGGTATATCAGCGTGGTGGTTTGTGATCGCCTCAAAGCATGCGAAAGCGGTAGATACCCACTTGGCGACACTTGCTTCTTCCTGTCTTGTCACTTTGCCATGCATGGCAACCTAGCACGACATGGATGTCTCTCTTGCCCCTGTGTGGTAGGCTGGGCGGCGCCCATGTCCATGTTGCCGGCTTCCGTCCGCTATCTTGAGCGATACCAAGTCGAGTGTGTTGTGCCTTGCTGACAGCAAGGGAGGGTGCCGCCTGTGGTTCGGCAGATTGTTGGTTGTTGATGCCAGCGGCAAGCAGATCTTGGTCAGACTCTGTGCCGGTGTGCCTGATTTCGGGCAGGATGCCTCTCTCTGGCCTCATTATTTCCGATCATCCTAGTGGAAGGATGTCCTCCATGTGAAATGATGAGATGGATGCTCAAAAGGATGAAGAATCAATCCCCGGATCCCGTGCTGACTGCCAAATGCAGCCTTTATTGGGACATGTATCACGATCGTACGGCTGTCGAGACACCAATTTCACTGCCGCCCTAGAATCACCCAACTTCGATACCCAGGGAGCTCCCACACCTTGTGGCTGTAGTCTGCATCAACACAGCAGCTTTTGGCGGTGTCACCTTACCCCAGCCCGATGCAGAAGATCCTTCCCAGGGACCCAGGGGCCAGCTAGCTGCTCCTGCAGGGTGCATGGCGGGCAGTCGCCGTTGGTCGCCTCTTTAAGGGGCCGTTCCTTCTCTCACGACCTCATCTGTGATTCATTCCGATACTGCTGTTGACAGTTGCCATCATCATTGCTGCCGTCGTTGTTGATGCTGCTGCTGTGTTGTTGGCTCAGATTTGGGTGTCGCTGATACACCATCCACTTTCAAATTTCGGTGACTATCCGACAATACCTTATTGGGGGAAGAAACATCCAGACAGCGAGACAGAGATCAGTCAGAGGGGCGAGTAGACGGCACTGTCATCCCAAGCATCAGAAACACCGATCTACAGACAGCGACAAGCAACATCATTCTTCGCCCGGCTCTCAGGTATTCTTTGAGATCAATTGGTCTTCATTCATACGCGTATACCCATTCATTATGGTTGCTTCTGTTGTCCCGCTTGGGGTCTTTGGCCTCGTAGCCATCCTCATGAATACAGTCACAGCCCAGAAAGAGGATCTGGGGACCGTTTTACAGTCCAACAATCTCACGACATATTACAATCTGATCAAGGCATGCCGGAAATAGTACAACTGAGCTAGGGATGACTGCTGACCACCCACAGAAATATCCCGAAGTGCTGTTCAAGCTTCCAAATTATCAAGGCGTCACTGTAAGTCTCTTCCACATATATCACTATTCCAAGCTAACATCGACTAGATTGTTGCGCCTTCCAACGCGGCGTTTGAGAACATCCCGGGAACCCAGCTCAACGCAATCTGGAACGAGTCGGATCCTTCCATAGCCGTTCCTATCCTAGAGTACCACATTCTACAGGGCACTGTGTCTACTGACGCTCTTGTCTCCGGCCCATCAGTCCTGCGTTCCTCTCTCCTCCAAGACTCAGCTTGGACAAATGTCACCGGCGGTCAGAACGTCCTCGTCAACAAGCAGCCTGGCGATGTTATCGTCTTTACGTCCTCTGAAGGTATCCGCACAACCCAGGTAGAGGGCGACATCAAGTTTGCCGGCGGTCTTGTTCAGGTCGTGGACAACCTCCTAATCCCTCCTGCGAGACTGGAGAACACCACGGAGAGCTTCAAGCTGCCCGCGTTCCTCGGCGCTTTGTACGCCGCCAAGCTCATTCCCGCCATATCGAATGAGAAGAACGTCACCATCTTCGCCCCACGCAACGAGGCATTCCAGCGCATCGCCGGCTCCGTCAAGAATATGGACAGCAACGCCGTCAAGAAGTTTCTCAACTACCACGTCGTTCCCGGAAGAGTTCTGGCGTCGTCCGATCTCAAGAACGGCACCAATCTCACCACTCTGACGTCTCAGAGCCTTCGTACCATCCGGTCCGGCAACAACCTCTTCTTGAACTCGGCGCAAATCATCCAGCCCGATATCCTCATCGCAAACGGCATCATGCACATCATAGACAACGTCTTGAACCCTGATGTGCCGTCGAACCCGAGCCCGGATGCCGCCAGCCAACCTCCCGTCTTCCCCGAGAGCTCTGCTTCCGGCTTGCCTTTCACGACCGCACTTCCCTGCACAGTCAGCTGTCCGGTGACCACGTCAAGCGCCACTCTCACAGGCACCGCTGCCAGGACTGCTTCGACCACGGGCGTCAGGACCACCACTAGCCCTGGTCTTGCTGCTCCCCGTTGTACTGGTCTTAATGCTGGTGTGGCTGTTGGTGTTCTGGCAGGCATCGCCGCACTTGTTTAGGATTGAATGGACAGAATGAGAGAGCGAGAGATCTAGTCATCATACTAGGATGGGAAAATTGGGTGGTTTCAGGCGATAATGAAGGCGTTGGGAGTAAATAGAATCAGACGATACCACTATATGAGATAGAATAGTTAATGTATGAAATTACACACTCACTCTACCTGTTACTGTGCTGCTAGCTGAATTAATCTTTAAATTGAATGTTATCGTGACCTCCTTGACGATGTCGCTTTCCACAATTCATATAATCTTGTCGATTCATCACCCTTTCTGTTCTCCTTATGTCGCTATTGCCACCACTGTCTTGAAGCCAATTCTACTTCTCAGGAATACGTGGCTCTCTGATCTTTCTTAAGAAAACGTCATAACCGACCAATTCTGAAAACTTTTGCAAGCAAGTGTCAGACGAAGTCTATAAACACAGGCTGCCGATAATCTTTCAGCATGAATAACTTTACTTAAATGCCAAACATGGAAGAACATTTATCGTGTCAACCTCAACATGTTGAACTTCCGTCTACATGTCGTTTACACACTCTTATCTCTTGACATCGACACTTATTCAGGCACCAGGTTCCATCACCAGCTCAGTCACTTGAAAGATTGACATTTCAGATACTCAGCGGGTTCTCTGGTCTGAGGCATAATCACCCGCCAAATGGACGTATCAAGTGAAAGTCGCAAGAGCCTCAATCAACCTCAGCAATGGAACCAATGATGTTCACAAAGCACGACACCGCAACAGCAGCACCGCCAAGGCATCAAGAAATTTCTACCTCACTCGGGAGACGGAACCCTCGACCCCCGTCCTCACAGACCGGGCGAGCATCGCTTAACCTCCCGCGCCTCAGACCTGCATACAAACCCCTCCATGCCCTGCCAGCACAACCCAGCCTCTCACAGCGACCAACATCACCCGATACCACAATGCGATAAGAGGGGAAAAAACCTGATTCACAAGTCGTGGCAAGCCGTGGCAAATGCATGCTTACCTTATCCATGCTGCTTCGCTCAATGCAATGCAGCCAAACCCTGCCTGCTTACAGCATGATACTTTGCCGAGAGCCCGCATCACAGAATCCTAGGTAATGAAAACGAAATGCCTTGGCAGGCATGCAGAACCGTCAGCACGAAGATATCAACGCATCCTGGCCCTCGTCTACGGCAAAGACAAAGATAACGTGTAACGGCGCGCGGCCTCGTCTCGTTCACCCATCTTTCATTTTTCTCAACGCTCGTATCAAAGCAGGGCTCGCCTCAACTGAAACACACAGCGAGTGCTGCAAGAAGGTCTCGATTGGACGACGTTCCACCACGCCCCCGAGTCCCGACCAACAGCAGCTTGACGTGCTGGACATGGGAGAAAGAGGCGTTTGGAGGGTTGGGGAATCTTTGTTTAAAAATAAACGGCGGGGGAAAATGCAGCGGTGACTGGCTGGGAGAAGCGGCTCTAGGGCCGAATACGATGGATGGAGGGGTCAGTCGGGAGCGGGGTTGGGGTTGGTTCTCGACGACCGACTGGATGGCACTGGAGGCGCTATGATGTACGACGTGAGATGTGGTTGTAGGCGAGTTTGCAGTTGGTGATGACAGGCGAGACAGACGATGCAACGTTGAAGAGGAAGCTTGAATTGGCAATGTGGTATCGGTAAGACGGCACTTGGTAACAAGCGAAGGAGTAGTCCCGTCCGTCTGTCTCGACGCACCTTGACGGCTCGGTAATGGAAGGCATCATTTGGCTTGATCCCATGATCATGATCTTCATGCTGCCCTACACGGGAAGTTTTCTTGCAGTGCAACAGGCACGCAATTCCTGTGCTGTAACTGAGCCCTGCGTGTAAACCGAGTTGATGGGTCGGTCTAGTAAGCATCAAGAGGACAAGGTGCGAAAGCCAAGAATGAGCAATGCACTTTGGCCTCAACGACTTGGACCGTCAATGGTCAGAGGCAAACTGGCTGGCGATCTAAACGGGTAAATCGGAGCATTGTTGATGCCACAACGTGCTCGTTCGTGCTCGCCACGATGCAGCTCGTCAGCCACCGCTCGAGAACATGTCTGCCCTCGCAGAGCTAATGCGTGCTGCATGCATTGTTGGCAACCTTCCAGCCAGTGGCAGAGCCTTTGTCGGAAGTTGCGAAGGGCTCCCGTCATCCCAACCAATGCTGTCTGCCAACTGCGGCTGCACCTACACTTGCAGCTGCATTGCTTCCATGGCTGACTGCGCCATACATGCCATCAACGTGCCAACTCCCACGGAAGCTACTGCCGCAACTCAGGCGGTGACCTCAACCGTTCTGGTAACCTTGGGCGATGTCGAAACAGACAAAGATGGAGGACTCTCGCCGAGATATCCAGCTGAGTGGGGGTACCTGTCAAAGACGGGGACAAAGGAAGGGCTCCCACCGCTTCGCCGGGACGCTCCCGGAGGCGTCGATCTTAGGACCAGCTTTCTGATTCGAGTGCGTGGCCTGGCGTCGGTGCAGATCAAGACGTCGCTTCGCGTCGAAGCCCAACTGGAAAGCTTCACGGATGGTACTACGGCAAAGCCGGGAAGGGCGCTTCCAACGCCGATCACGTACTCGGGCTGTTGTTCGCCACGTCGCTTGGGAGGATATTCGGGACGAAGAAGCCTTGATGCTGATCTTTTGGTTAAGCTTCGACCGGGTCGCCCGAGCTGCTGGGGCAAAGCGCGGCTCAGATGGACGAATGTTACAAGCAGTTGGGTAGCAGTCACATCGGCTGTCGATGATCTCGAGTCTTGTTCAACCAGTGCTTGACCGATTTCTCACATCCTCGTATTGAACAAGTGCAGATAGCTTATCACTGCCGCAAGAGCCTCGATACCAAGAGGTGGACCGGTTCGTAGTCATTGGTGAGCAGCAGCGGAGATGGGCTCACTCGCCTGAAGGCAACGGTGATGCTGGATTTGCCTTGGTCTGGCCTGAGTTGGTTTACTTTGCTTTGACCTCAGCTCTGTGCGGCAGCTGGCGTTGTTGCCTCTGTCTCGTATCGCGTCTGACTGCAGAGGCAGAATCTTTTTCTGGATGCCGTATGCCAAGCTAACTTGAGGTAACAGACGCGCGGTGGGCCTTGTTTCCTGGCCGGATCTGGATCAAGCTGAGCATTGACGCTATCACCACGTCTTGACGTGATTGTGGAAATTGCAGCAGGAGTCGGCCAAGACGGGTTTTGACAGACCGGCGCCGTACTGGAGGACGCTATTGACGATTTAGTCCTAAAGAGGTAGCATCTCTTATCGTGTGTACCGGCGGGCCAGGGACCAGGGAAGGGCAAGGTATGTTGTACAGGGGTCTTATGCAGGTACAAGGGCATCGTTGAGCTAAGGTGGCCGATGCATGGACGCCACAGAGCTAGCAGTCCGGGCACATCTCTTGCTGCTTTTCAGCGGTGTTGTGAGCCAATGAGCGCTTGTCTGTCTGTACACTGGGCCCCAGAGTGTTGTCTTCGTCATGATCTAGGCTCCTGGGCACCGGGGCGGGCGAGCAGAGGGAGCTGGAGACTGGAGACTGAAGTCGGATCCCGCCAGTGAAGCGAAGACGGGAAGCGGGACGGGCAGGGTTTGCAGGCCCGACTGAGGGAGAAGAGTGATGCTCCAGACACTATCTCCAGGGCTGAGAGCTCCGGCTGCTGCAGAGTGCCAATAGTGAGGTTTGGATAGATGTGTTGTCGTGAAGTCGGCCGTCATATCCACAGGCATGTCCACAGGCCAGCCAGCCAGCCGCACGGGGAGGGCCGAAACAGAGAGCAAGAGTCGTGATAGCTCTTTGATGCGTTATCGTGAAAACCAGTTGGGTGGTAATATTGGACAAACGACGCGGCCAGAACGCAGCAGACTCGGCTGATTCGGGGGTGATGGGGGTGGGCGAAAGATAGAGAGGCCGAACATGACTCTTGGGTGCCGAGTGGCAGTCAGTCGCCTCAAGCAGTAAGGTAACTGACGATGTGGAATATTGGTGAAAGAAAGAGCTTGCGAGTCTGGCTGAGCTAAGAGGCGCCGGACCCAAACTCAAGCACTCCCCCGTGTGGTTGAGTGAGAAGGGGGGGTTCATCGTCTCATGTCGTCTGCGAGGGACGAGAAAGAAGGGACGACAAGACTCAGCAGGGGATACTGTATTCGTACGCAGTGACCGCTGGAAGAACCCCTCTCTACAGCTGACAGCCCCTGTAATCCAGCGCCACCAGCTGATGCCAGTAGCGCTAGAAGGGCAGCGTCTGGTGGGAGATTGCCCCCATCAGCATCAAGGGGCCGCTTGCCATGCGCTGAAAAGGGGACACTCGCTGAAGTGCAGTGAGAGGTGTCCATGTTCATGGCGGGAGGGAGCTGTTTGCGGACAGCCCAGACCAAGCCGGCGCCGCCGTCACAGCCATCGCCCACTGAAGACAAGTGCAGTGCGCCTGCGGTACCTCGGGGCAGGCGCCTGTGGAGGTACAAGGTTGAGGTACCTACCTACCCGTCCCGCCGTCCCGCACTTGGCCTTACTGATCTTAGCTCCTTCTGTAGCTGTCTGTCGCTGCTTGTGCTTTCTTCCCAGGCGTGAGGTGCCTTTCACCTAGGTAGGTACCTAAGGTAGAGAGCTGCGTCCAATCCTTCCTCTTCCAGGTCAGGTTCATTTGGCCGAAGCCACCACCTCCAGCTCCCATTTACCTACTCGGCCTCGCCTTTCTTTCGCGCCTCTTCCGAACCTCTTTTCTTTCTCTCCTCCTTTCACCTCGTCCGTTGCGAGTAATATCTATCCCTTCTCCTCTCCAGTCCTCGCCAGGTACTTGAGGGAATAATCACCAACATCCACGACGACAGTCAAGCCACTCGCTCTTTTCCAACAACCACCACATTCGCTACAACCTGTCCCAGCGCTTAATTGCTTCGAGGGACCGCAGCTCAAACGAGTCTGCCGCAGACCATCTGCCAAATTGAATACTCGAACCCAATCCCACCTCACAATTCATATACAATGGATCAGGATTCATACAATCAGCAATACTTCTCCCGCCAGGTCGCCGGTCAGCCTTCGCAAGCGACCACCGCTGCCGGCACTCCTATGCGCCCAGGCACCCCCGAGACCAACAACAGCCGCAATCCCTTCAACGATGGTGTCGAGTCTCAAGCATCTCAACGTCCCGGCATGGGCACAAACCCCTTTGGCACACCAGCCGTCTCCCGTCCCGCATCAAGCTTCGGCTCCTCCAGCGCCATTGGCACCCGCTTCGACGAGCGTTCCCAGCGCTACTTCCACTCAAGGCGCATTCGCAAGGAGGACGTAGAGAAGCCCTGGTTGGACAAGGCCGATCCCAAGGAGAAATGGGTCACAATCATTCCCATCGTCGGTATCCTGCTCGGTCTGGCCATCTCCGGTTTCCTCATCTGGGACGGTATTCACAGTGTCGTCAAGCACCAATACTGCCCTGTTCTCATTGAGGACTTCAGCTCTGGCAACCTTGACAGCAATGTTTGGACCAAGGAGGTCAACGTTGGTGGCTTCGGGTATGTCGCATCAATCTTCAAATCAAGCTCTCAATCACTAACAACCTCTCAGCAATGGCGAATTCGAGTGGACAACCGCCGACGCCGAAAACATCTTTTTCCAGGATGGTGCCCTCGTCATCAAGCCCACTCTCACTGACAACACCATGATTGAGAAGGACACTGTCGTTGATCTGCTCAAGGATGGAACCTGCACATCGGACAAGTTCTCTGACTGTGTGGCTGCCACCAACACTACCGCTGGAAACTCCACCATCGTCCCTCCTGTCAAGTCTGGCCGCCTCAACACCAAGAAGGGTGCCACCATCAAGTACGGCCGCGTCGAGGTTGTTGCCAAGCTCCCCAAGGGCGACTGGCTCTGGCCCGCCATCTGGATGATGCCTGTCGAAGACACTTACGGCTCCTGGCCTGCGTCTGGCGAGATTGACATCATGGAGTCTCGCGGCAACAACTGGACCTACGAGCAGGGTGGCGACAACATCATGTCTTCTGCTTTGCACTGGGGTCCCGACCAAGCCAACGACGCTTGGTGGAGGACCAACAACAAGCGCCAGGCTCTGCACACCACCTACGGCGACAACTTCAACACCTTCGGCCTCGAATGGTCGCAGAAGTACCTCTTCACATACGTCAACAGCCGTCTGTTGCAGGTCATGTACACCAACTTCGATGAGCCCATGTGGCAGCGCGGTGACTTCCCCCAGGCCAACTCCAACGGCAGTCGCCTGACGGACGTCTGGAGTCAGACTGGCCGTGCCAACACGCCCTTTGACCAGAAGTTCTACCTCATCCTGAACGTCGCCGTCGGTGGCACGAACGGATGGTTCGAGGACGGCAAGTCCAACAAGCCCTGGCTCAACACCAGCCCCAACGCCAAGAAGGACTTCTGGACGGCTACCGACCAGTGGTTCCCCACCTGGACGCAGCCCGAGATGACCATCAAGAAGGTCTCCATGTGGCAGCAGTGCGACGGTAACGAGGAGCTGTAAAAAGGCGTCTCGTCCGTACGACACAATTGTTTTTCTTTCTAATATCAAGAACATATAGACAAGGTGAACATGCTATTTTTGGGATAGATGAAGGGGCGCGCGGTATGGGTTTCACAACGGACGGCATTTGAATTTCGGAATACCAAATCTCTGGATGTTTCCTTGGAAGCTCGGCGCGCTGGTGGCACAATGCCGGCTGTATTTTGACGACATTTGTCTTGGATTACATTAATTGCGCCGCCGAGCCACGACGGAGTCGCAACATGCTACTACCATAATGAATTTCAAAAAAGATTATTACGCATTACCTCAGATGAGACCCGTGATTCAATCAAAAGTTGTCCCGTCAATTTGAGCGTCACCACACCAATGCCTTGCAGCAGCAGCATGTTATCCCTGCATATCAACTCAAGGCAGGTAAATCGCCGATGCAGTCATCCAATACGGCCGTCGCTGAGGTCTTGGTCACAGCCATGCTTTCTTCCCGCTTCTTTATTCTTTCATGCATGCCATGCCACACATACACGGCACGGCTTATCGCAGCGTCCGGCCGAGGCAAACGGGATGCAGAAATTTGTGTGGCGAACCAGGCGCAAAGATGTGTGTCCGAAACTATGTGTGGTCTGGACTCGATAAATGTCTCCTCTCGGACTGCAGCCCTGCGGCGGTGTTGCTGGTCTTTGTACACAACAGAGCCAAGCATTCTGCGGGCGGATCTTGTCGAATGGGAAAGGGAGGATACGGGGAAAATCAATGTGCGCGCTGCATGCAATGCTACCTGCACTGGCAGTTGATAGCCATCGCCACTGTCGTCGAGTTGGACAAAAGTCCTGCAGAAGAAGCGCATGACTGACTTGACGTGGTGACTCTCAGAGGTGAGATTGCGCAAGGCAGATCTGGCTGGGTCTCACGTGTCACAGACATAATACAATGGGCTTGGGAATTGCTTCTTCCATTGTTTGTAAAAAAAAAAAAAAAAAAAAAAGGGTTTCTTTGGTCTCATCACGATCAACACCGTGTCTTGCGGCAGGTATAGAGTTTAGAGACTATGGGGAAAGCTGGTGAAGCAGGAACCCCCCGCTGAATAGTAAAACAAATGTCTTTCTTCACTGATTGGGGCTGTATCCCTCCCTTCTGGGTCACGGCGAACACCAAGATGGCGATTTTCGAGGGCGGAGTGAATCAGTGGGTATGGTGTTCTTTCTGACCCCCTCTCAATCTCGCCGCCCCTCACGTCGGGATTTGCGTTATCGGGGTGTTTTTTTTGCCTGGGCTCCAGGGCTCCAGGGCTCCAGGGCTCCAGGGCTTCAGGGCTTCAGGGCATGATGCGCTGGGTCGGACTATTTTCCTCAGCTCCGGAGCTAGAGGAAACTAGTCGTTCATAGTTGGCTTCAGGTTGAGGTAGATGGTGATGTGTGGAGTCTCGCGATGGTGTTAGTGCCCGCTGTGTTTCCGATCACCCAAAAACCAAAAGCGACGCCGCCGCGTGGGAGACGGCATCCGCAAAAAAGCGGAGGTGCACAATTCAAGCTTATGGGAGATGTGCAACGGTTCCACATTCCACTTGAGAGCGAGAGAAGGATCTCCAATGTTTTAGCTCGTGGATTTGTGGCCTTCTCACGGACCAGAAGAAACAAGCGAGTTCGCGGGAACAATTACAAACAGGCGACGGAGACGATTTTTGCGTGGGAGGATTTGCGGCGGGCGGCGGCCGAAAGAATTGTGGATGATGGACACCCCTCCCCTGTTGATGGGAAAGTGGTCCTGCCAGCTGGTGGACCGGCCATCCCGCCGGGGGTCAGGGATCGAGAACTTCGGGCGAGGATGCCGGTCGGCAGGTTGTCAGAATCCCTCGTGCAACCCTGGCCAGGTTCAAGGCAAGTCTCCCATGCGTTGACAGTTTCTTTCCGTGATGGATCGCTGCTTTGGCCTTGTTGCATGTCTTCCAAGTTGTCAGCAATGCATCTACACAGCAGCCACCAGCAGCCAGGCTCTGGTAGCATGCGGTTGCGACTCGGTCAAAGCCCGTCCAGCGAGGCTTACCAACCGATAAGACAGAGATGCCTGCCTGTCCGCTCTGATAGCGAGCGGGTTTCTCGTCAGAGCCGCAGGGAGCATTGAGAATCCTACGCTGGTAACTTATCGTCGGCCGCATTCAACAACTAGAATGGCATGGCAGCGCTGACGAGAGACTCTTTTTTGGAGACATGTTACGCCCCGTCGTTTGAACGCGTACCATTGATCACGCCGTAGTGAGGTCCACAGACTCCCCGTGTTTCTCCTTCGCCATTCTGGTCTGGTTTGTTATCCTGAACACGGCATGTTTATGCCTCGTGGCTGGCTGTTTGGCCGACGGAAATATCCTTTTTGATTTGCTGGGTGTTTGCAGAAACGATGGAGAAACGCGCCCTGACCTCAGCTTGAAAAATGGGCTGACGGGGAGAGATGGAGACCAGACTGGAAAAAGCTCCTCCGCAGATGTGACTGAACATCTTGATTGCAAGAAGACCAGGGGCGACGAACACGTCGCAAGGAGGTGGAGGCTGATTGGGTCCTCCGGGTGATCCGCCGGTGAATCTTCCTCCCCCATGTCGGTGTGTAGAGTGGGCCGGCCGGACAGGCAGCGAGGCCCCCGGCGCCGTGAAGCAATAACTGCAGGTATTCCGCCGAGGAATGTTTGATAAGACACACTTTGCGGGTCGGCGACTGAAGTGCTACCGGTCGGCGGTAGACAGCTAAGCCCAGTCAAGGCGGTTCGGTCGTCCTTGAGCCCGCGGTCTAGGCACTGCAACACAGCGCGACGCGTGGTGCTGTGACTGTTCTGGGAATAAGTGATGCGCTGGCTAAATTCGATAAGGCTGACATCGGGACGACCTCATCAAACAGGGGGCTTGATGCGAAAATATCTACGCGGCGAATGCCACAGATGAGCGTCGCGTACCCGTCCCCTTGGCTCTAGACTGGCCGACCCATTACAGCGGGCTCCCGAGATGGAGCAGACGCCACAGGCAAGCCGTCCATGGTCATCCTGCGATGAAGAGAACCCGTTATCGTGGTTGTTGGCGAACTCTGGGTCTAGCTTGGTCTCGTTGGCGGCAACCACCGCTCGTCTAGCCGCCTCTTCATCTCCTGGCCCCTTTCTTGCAGAGGCAGCAAGTAGTAAGGGCCCGGCGGGCGGCAATGAAGAGAGTAGCCGCGTGTAAAGCCCTGATTTAGAAGACGTGCTAGCATCTGCTACCCCTTTTCAGAGCGATATGTGGAAATTGAAAATGAACGCCACGATGTCTGCAACTAAGGCTCTGATTGGCAGGCGGTGCGAAGCGTGTGGTCAAGGCCAGGCCAGGCCAGGCCAGGAGAATCTGACAGTGTCAGAAAAGCTTGATCCCTTCTTTTACAGAGAACGGTTCATCCTTCCTCCGAGTCTGGTGAATCAATTGGCCAAGAACCTGCAGTTGTAAGCATGTTATCGAAGAAGACTTCGATAGGTGAGATGTCGGTGAGCGACAGCTGCTGTCAGCAATATTTGGAGCAGTGGCCCGTGATCAGCTTAAATGCCAGGACAGACCAGGGGCCCTGTTGGTGATAATGAGCGTTGTGTTCCTAACCCCTGCCTCTGCAAAAAGCTTCCGTGGTAATTCTTGAATTCGGCTTGAGCAATTGTAGCCAAATGTGAGAACGTCCCTTGATAAGACAGCTGACATCTGTGGTGTCAACTATGCGTGCTTGTTTCTGTATGCGTGTCGTCTTATCGAGTCGGAGCCTCATGGCCGTTACAACGCGGAACGTCCCATCTGAGCACCACCATCACGACGGTCGCTACCAACCAAAATCTTGCTTCCTCGCCCCTTCCCGTTGAGATTCGAACGGCGAAGGAATGGCTGGTTGGTCGATGCCGTTTGGCGATTCTGGTATGGTGGCGAGCGTATGTGGCATTGGAGAGCACGGATTGGCGGGTTTGTTGCTGCATCCTCTTGCGCGCTGCAACTCCACTGATGAATACGAAAAAATGGCGCCTTGCACGCCCCCAAAAATAAACACAGCCACCCCCGGCGCCGGTGGGAGGTACTTTGTACATGGGTTTTCTTTTCGTGTGCATTATTTCCAATATTCTGTCCGTTTGCCCTGCGCTGAAGGTGGGCATATCTCGTCCCGCTCGCCAACACGGCCGGAAGATTTAGCGATCACAATGGGGAAATAATGGGCCTGAATCTGGCCTCAGTGCATGTCGTCTCGCCGCCGTCAGCCGTAATCTCGCACATAATCAAGTAGCCTACTGGCCCGCCGTCATGATGCAATTTGTCGATATCAAGCATAGTTTGCGTGAAACAAGTTCGTTGAGCGGCATCGCCACCTGCAACCTCAAGTGGACGACCGAACGTTCCTCATTGCCCTGATCTGGCATGGTACTTTCTGTGGCGTTGCCACAATTGGATATCCTTCGCTTTGACCAGCTCATCGTGAATGTTTGGTTCTTCAGCCGTGAGTGCTCACGTGCTCTGTCGTGAGGCCAGTTTCGTGCCATCTAGAACTGCTCGCAGAAGGCTAGCACAAGTACCCGTGTTGAATTTGCCAGCAAGCTGCAGGCGATCTCATCACGGACCAAATCGGTCGCGGTGATACGGAGAGTGATGAGAAAAAGAGAGCAGGTCAAAGTAAGCGGGTTGAACTCTGCGTTGAAGCTTGCATGAGCGTTCAAGTCCATCCGAACTTCGCAGCGAGCCAACACGGCCATGACCAAGCTGAATACGGAGCAAGCAGATACTGTTGGCTGTACTGTCCACTGTTGACTTACATCGTCGCAGAGGGAGACATCGGACAAAGCATGTTGAGACTTTCCTAGCCTTAGCGTCCCAGGAGTCAGGTCTGGCGCCGCCGTCTCATCCCTCCTTAGCGGCGGTACCATGGCTTTGCGCCGTCCTTGTCAGTCGGGCCCACGGGCTCTACTTGCACCTGGGCGTTCCAGAAGCTCTGCTCTAATATTTTTGTTAGCGTGGTGTATT